GTTTGTCTCCTCCTTCGCTGTTTCCCTTTTTAGTCATCAGCCACCAGTGTATCATCCATACAGCCCTTGGTGAGCAGGGCTGAATTTTTGGTTAACTCTCAGGTCCTAACACCACTTGGAAATATTCAGGCTGTCTATGCCGTCAGGGTAGTTGACCATACACAGCTCCATTTGTCTCCTTATTCATTGTTTTCATGCAGTTTCTTCTTCTAGTTGGTGTATTCTTCCTTTCAAAGTTCAGGGCTCCAGGATTATCTTCTGTATCTGTGTCAATTGTTTTCTCTTTTCTTTGTTTAAGAGGGTCTGTGTAGCTTGACTACCTATTTCACCATCTTACCTGAAATCCGAGAAGCAGTATTTTTTAATTAAAATTTTAACATTGTGTGTTTTAAAACCACAAAGAAGTAGATCATTCAGCTTCCCTGGGGCATGTAATAAATACCTAATTTGATATTCTCCCTTGTAGTTTATGCCCATATATTTTTTTTATTTTTAAAGATAGCCTTGCTAGTAATTCAGTTGATTTTTGTAATAGCCATCCCCTCCATGTACTAATTTCACTCACTTTTAAACTTTTAAAGCATGTATATATCTTCTTAACCAAAACCAAACCAAACTCACTGGCAAAGGTTGATTCTGAGGGTTTCCGAGGCTATAAACCTTTACAGAAGTATATTGCCCCATCTTTCTTCTGCAGAGCATCTGATGAGTTTGCAGTGCCACCCTTCTGGTTAGCAGTCAAATGCCTTAGGCACTGTGCCACCAGAGCTCTTTATCTTCTTAACAGTCCAAATTTTTGAAGCTTTTTTGGTTCATCTTGCCCCATTTAGATCTGGGTGGGCTTGAACCTCCAACTTGGTTAGCAGCCAAACATGTTAACCATTTGTACCACGCAGGGACTCCTAGAATTCTTAACTTTCTTATCAGTTATAAAGTACCCAAAAGTGCCTGGCCACAGACCTAAAGGCCACATGGAGAAAGAACAGAAGTAGAACAGGGGAAAGAGGGAGAGGGCTGGGAAAGAATGGAGTGAGGTGCTGGGTTTCATACTGCTGGGCTGCTGCAGCTGAACAGTCAGTCAGGTAGTAATACTAAGAATGAGGTGCAATTTGATTTTCTCAATTTTGTTTTCTATTCCAATAGAGAGTTTTCAGGTGTCACCACAGCTGTGTCTATATACTTTTAAAGTCATCTCTGACCAAAATCACACTCAAGTAGCAAGCTTTGGAATTGCTGGTTAGCAGCCACATTGAGTAAACTGACTTTCAAAGGGAGGGAAATGGAACATGCTTTAATGTAGAAATCTCCATACACAGTCCCCATCTGTGTCTGATCTTCTGCCATGGCTCATTCTAAAACCCAGCTTGTCTTCCAAGTAGCCTAGACAGAACAGGTTTTTACAAGTGCATGTCAAAAGTACATTGAAAGAAAACCAGAATTTATATACCCTATCATGGAGGAAATAAGGGCATTCTTAAAAGAGTAGTAATTTCCCACAATTTACTTGAAAAGTCTTTTTCTTCCCAAATTAGTGTTGTCTAGGTACCACCTTGTCTCAGTGTCTCCATACTTACTCAGCATTCCTGTTACTTTGGAACCTCAGAGTCTGTAGTTATGAAAGCAAAGAACAAAAATGAATAGTTAAGGATTTTGCTTAGGCTAACGTAATTCACATACATGCTAGAGTCAGTTTACACTTACTTTTGAATTCTTGGTTTTCTTTTTAAACAAACAGACAAACAAACTTAAACCTTAATTTCATTCAGTTGGTCATGTGGCAGCTTGTCGTTTAGAATGCTTAATGGAAAAGTTTCCTGAACAAAACTTCATAAATCAGGTATGGTCTGACACACTCCTGGAAACCAGAAATTCTTAAAATGGAATCCTGGTCTTAGACTTAAATCCTTTTGTGGCCCCAGGCAAGTCATTTAACATCTTACCTCCCTTTTTGCCATCTGTAAAGGATAAATACTTCTGTCTCAGGGATGTTGAAAGGATTAATTAGTTAGTCTGTAAAGAACTTTGAAGATGAAAAGTACTTTAAAAGTGTTTCTTAATAACATTATTGCTTAGAAAAGAGTACCACTTTTATGCTAACCATTTTATGCCTCAAATTATATAAAGAAGGTATGTTTAGTACAGTACTAGTAGTTATAAACTAGAGATAAATCTCTCAAGGTGTGAACATCAAACATTAGCTGAAGAATTTCAAAGGAGCATCACTTTGTCTTATGGATCTTTTCAGAGCTGTGTTCTACCCATAATTATCTACAAAGATCATATTTCAGGGAAGAGAAGACCCTTACACAAATTCAGTCTTCATCTTTGTATTTAATCAAGTTTTATTTTTTTATCATTAACTTTAAAACCCACCCCAAAACCCACCACTGCCAAGTTGATTCTCATGGCAACCCTGTACGACAGAGTAGAATTCCCCCATAGGGTTTCTAAGACTGTAAGTTTTTATGGAAGCAGACTGCCTCATCTTTCTCCAGTGGAGCAGCTGGTGGTTTGGAACCACTGATCTTTTGGTTAGCAGCCAAATGCTTTAATCACTGTGCCACCAGAGTACCATTAACTTTAAAAAGGTACATTCAGTTTGGGCTGGTATAAGGAGGATGTAGGAGAGGGATGTGTATTTACTGATTTTTGAGGAAGTAACAAAAGATGAGAGAGAACCATATTCTTTCATTTTTCCTTCCCTCTCCTTTCTTCTCCTACTTTCATCATGGTAATATGTGTTGCTTTAGCCATTTCTAGAAGGGTTAAGTCTAACTGCTAAAACTTATTGAAAGTATATGAAACTAAAAAACCCAAACTCACTGCCATCAAGATGTGATTCCAACTCATAGTGACCCCCTTTGGGTTTCCAAGGCAGTAAATCTTTACAGAAGTAGATTGCCCAGTCTTCCTTCCATGGAGTAGCTGGTGGGCTTAAACCGCTAACCTTCTGGTTAGCAGTCAAATGCCTTAGGCACTACACTTAATTTAGTGTTTTTCTCTAAACCAAGTTAACAGGAAAGAACCAATACCCAGATTTTATAATATTATTGTTATAACAATGTTCGAGAATTTATTATGTGTAACTAGTATAGAGTTCAAATTTATCTTCTTTATTGGAAGGGGGAGGGTGTGTTAATTACATAGATGATAATGAATTACAAGGCACAGCAAACCCTAACTAGACACATTATATATTAAAAAACTAAAACCAAACTCAACTGCCATCAAGTTGGATCTGACTCATAGTGACCTCTCCTTGGGTTTCCAAGGTGGTATCACTATGGAAGTGGATTGCCCCATCTTCCTTCCGAGGAGTGGCTGGTAGGTTTGACCCTCCAGCCTTCTGGTTAGCAGTCAAATGCTTTAGGCACTACACCACCAGAGCTCCTCATGTTATGTAGAGAGACCTTAGAAAAGATTAGAAAACATGATCAAGAAATGAAATGGATTTAAATTTGGGGAAATATTTGTCAGAGCAATTCAGTAAAGAAATGGAACTGTGTGCAGAAATGGCAGTGAATAGGGCTGACTTAGGTAGAATTCTTGTTTTCTCTGAGTGTAATCAGATTCATTTTTTAGGTTGTTCATACTATAGGATGATGATTTGTAGTCTGGTGAGTTAAGACTGAGTGAAAGAAAATACGTTACTATAGCTTGTTTTGGTTATCTAGTGCCATTGTAACAGGAATACCACAAGTGGATGGCTTTATCACGCAGGAGTTTATTCTCTTACAGTTTATGAGGCTAGAAGTCCGAGTTCAGAGTGCTGGCTTTAGGGGCTGGGTGAAAGCCCCTTGACCTTGGACTTCAGTTTTGTTTCTTGCTCTCAGCCCACTGAAGCTAGAGGCTTCTCTTGACTCAAGCAGCTGTTGGCTGTGAGGCTGAGAAACCCAACGTCAGCAAGTAAAATGGTATAGTCCCAAGATTATCAGTCAACATGGCAGGCTGCTGAATGAAGAGGTGGCTACATGCAGGGTCCAAGTGTGCCAAAAAGCTCAGAGACCCTTCTCAAAGCTGTTTTCTTATATACTGGAAGCAGGCCACATCCCTGAGGCAGCTACTTAGCTGCTCCAGTAGAATCTACCATGGAGTTGATTACCATTCTCATCCTGGGGAATAACTACATTGAGGTGCCTAACCACTCAAAACCATGGCCCAGCCAAGTTGACACACAACCTTAACTACAACATAGCTCTTCTTTGTGGCTTGACCTAGAGGACTTAGTCTGTGTTCATTCTTTTGTAGAAGGTGGGCTGTTGTTAAGTGCCATTGAGCCAATTCTGACTCATAGTAGTCCAATGTGACAGAGTAGACCTGCCCCATAGGGTTTTCTAGGCTATAATCTTGACAGGAGCAATCACCAGATCTTTTCTACCATGAAGCTGCTGGGTGGGTTCAAACTGCCAACCTTAGTGCTTAACCATTGTGCCACCAGAGCTCCTTAGAAGGTGAGTGGGCCATTAAAATACTTGTATACCTAATTTGTGCATGGCTTAAATATAAAATGTGTTAGAAGCATTAAGTGCCACTGACCACCACAATAAATTAAAGGCTTGAGAAACAGTGCTTCTTGCATTTTGAATTCAGAAATGTAATTTAGTAAGATAAGTAGCAACCATTGAAATATTTAATACATTCAGTTAAAATATTAAATTAGTGAGTGTTTTGCCAGTTACTGTTTTTTTATTATATATCTACTGAATATGAAGGTTGGGCAATCTACTTCCGTAGTGATACTGCCTTGGAAACCCAAGGAGGGGTAGCTATGAGTTGGGTCTGAATTGACAGTACATAACAACAACAACAGCAGCACTGAGTATGAATAACTCTTTGAGTGCCCCTTATTCTTTTTGTTGATTGTGTTAAATGAATGAAATTTTGTTTACCACTTGTGCAGAGCATTTTTCTTCATGTGATCATCTTAATTAAAATTTGTTTCATATGGTAAATCAAAGCATAATACTAATTAATATATCATTCTATTCAATTTTCTACAGTAAAACCCTTGAAGATCGTTTAAAACTTGAAACAAAAAATGGGACACTGAAAGTATCAGATACCACTGTTGGCAGCAAACAACTGACATTCACATTAAAGAGGGTAAGTTTTTTTTTTAAATGTTATTCTTTAGTTTATAAAAGAAAAATCAGCTTCCAATAGTTTTTAGTTTGTATCTGACCTTGGAACTGCTTCCCAAGCTTTTCCCCTAAAAAGGAAGCTTGTGTTCTGTTTGCTAGCATTTTACCTGCAAGCAGAGCCCCTCTGGGGTTGAGAGCACATTGCTTGACAGAAACAGAGCCAGGAGTATTACTAGTGTTCAGAAAGAAGCAGAGTGTTAGTGACCCAAGAGTTGGCACTGTTCCTTGAGTTGGTGATGAACCAACATCTTTGGTGACTGGGTCATTGTTAAAGTGTACAAGCCAGTGGTTTTCATATGCTCACAAAGTTGTGTAGTCATCACCACTGACTAATTCCAGAACATTTTCATCACCTTAAAAAGAAAGCTCATTACCCACTAGCAGTCATCCCCATATCCTCATCCCCCATTCAACCACAAATCTACTTGTCTTTGTAGATTTGCCTGTTCTGGACATTTCACATAAATGGAGTTATGTAATATGTGATCTTTTCACTTAGCATAATGTTTTCAAGGCTCATACATGTAGTGGTATCAATTCTTAATCCATTTTTGTTGCCATATATAAGTTGGTGAGCATTTGAAATGTTTGCGTTTTTCCCTTAATGCCTTTTATGAATAAAGGTGCTATAAACATTTGTGTACAAGTGTTTGCATGAACATATGTTTTCATTTATTTTGGATTTATATCTAGTGGTAGAATTTCTAGGTCATATGATAACACTATGTTTAACCTTTTGAGGAACTGCCAGAATGTTTTCCAAAGTGGCTATTCCATTTTAAATTCCCACTAACAGTGTATGAGGACTCCAGTTTGATCGTATCCTTGTCAACTCCTGTTATTGTCTGTCTTTTTGATCATAGTAACTCATTGTGGTTTGATGCGCATCTCTCTATTGACCAGTGAAGTTGAGCATCTTTTCATGTGCTTATTGATGATTTGTATATCTTCTGTGCCGAAATGTCTATTCAAGTCCTTTGCTATCCACCTGTGATTCTTCTAAAAGTTCTTCCTAACTTCATTCAGGAGCTTGCAGAATGATAAAAATTTATTGTTATTTTTTATTATTTTAGTGCTAAGAAGCTTTTTCTATTAATCAGCCTCCATTTAGAGAAAATCCTCCGTTTAGAGAAAATTCACACTCTTACAGTTATCATTTAAATAACTAGGTATGTGTATAGACTAATTAATTGTACTTGTCCCTAGTTTCTTATAAATTCTCTGTGTACATTAAAACATTTCTCAATTCCTTTTGAAAGTCAAGAAATGCCAAGTGCGAGAAAGAAACCATTGCAACTGTAGGCTAGGCATAGGTTTAGTAGCTTAGTAAGTGCCTTAACTCATAAGAGACATCTTTCTGCTCTTTTGAATGAGAAATCTACATTGCTGTAGTGTGACAATACAATCTGTTTCTCATTTTTTAAAAAATAAGGTAGTGCGTTAAATACCAGTTTATAGTTCATGGTAAAATGAAAACAAGATGGCTCAGAAATTATGTTTTTCACTAAAAAGAAACACCAAGAAATGCTTAAAATACAGCAACAAAAAATAAAATATGTAAAAAAAGAAAAAAGAAATGCTTAAATGGCATTGTAACTGGATCAAGCAGCAGCTTTGAAACTTTTGGGGAATGCATCAATTAAAGTTTGATTTATGTTTTATCATCTAACAGAATTTTAATTATTAAACCTCAGCTTTATTTAAGAATATTTAGGGGCTTATTTGTGTATTAGGAGCTCTGGTGGTGCAGTGCCTAAAGCATTTGACTGCTAAACAGAAGGTTGGCGGTTCAAACCGACCAGCTGCTCCTCGGAAGGAAGATGGGGCAATCTACTTCCATAAAGATTTACCACCTTAGAAACCCAGTGGAGGTTGCTGTGAGTTGGAATCGACTCAATGGCAGTGGGTTTGGTTTTGGTTTGTTTGTGTATTTATTTATAGAAATCTCTTTTTATATTAGGTGTATGGTATTCAGGTAAAATGTCAAAATTTTCCAGGGTTTTCATGTGCATTTTCTAAAATGTCAATAAAATTGAAAGAGGAAAATCTGTGCTTTAATATTATTTAAAACTGAATAGCAGCAAAATTGGGATTAGGACCTAAATCTGATTTGGAAATTTCATTTTAATATAGTCTCTCATTAAAATTGTGCTGATTTGCATTTATCCTCCACCTTTGTCTGTGACAGGATTGCTGAGTAATGTAGTAAAGTAGCCAGACACAGAATCATGAAGAAGGAGGAAAAAAATGCTTGGAAATGAGTTAATTGACCCATAAATCATAATAAGTCGGTCACAAGATGGCAATGTCTTCCAAATACAACCATTTAGAGAGAGGCTAATGATAGTCCTTTTTCTGGATGGGGATTTGTCTGCAGAACAATGGCTGCTTCTTACCAGTGTATTCTATAAGCTCCTCTTTTTGTTGAGAAGGTCTGACAGAGCTTCCCAAACTGTTCCAGGAGAGGTACATAGATCCTCTGAAAAATGCTTTTGCAATCAAATAGGAAGAACTCCTTGGACTGATTTCCCTATTGAAGACTCATAAAGTAAAATACCTTAATTTAAAAGCTCCAACACATCCTGTCTATCATTTTCTAAAATTATTTGAACAAGAAGTAAGTTTTTAAGAGATATTTATTAACATGGAGAAACAAGAAAATTTTACAAAGCCAGTGTTTGTTAATTTTACATGAGTCTTGATGATATCATTATTTGACCTTCTAGGAAGTTAGTTTCCTTCAAAGGTTGCTGACTTTCCCATTAATAAATATGTATTGAATACCTGCTCTGTACTGGATGCCGGAATTCCATAGAACAAGGCAAGTTTGGTTCTTGCCACCATAATTTTCAGTCTGTTGAGAAAGACAGTGAATAAAAATTATACACATATAATTATATGATTATAACTGTGCTGGGTGCTCCAAAGGAGAACAGAGTGCTCGTCAGGGGGACCTAACCTAGCCAGAGGAGTTAGGAAAGGATAAGTGAGATGTAGGTTGGGTCTTAAAGTTGAATAAGGGCCCTGTGAAGGCACAGGGAGGGTCCCAGGTTTAAAGAACCATATAGGCAAAGTCCTTCTTTGAAGAAGGAGGAAGCCTGGTGTGTTTGAGTGTCTTAAAGGAAATCTATTTGTCTAAAACACAGTGAGCAAGGGCAAGAGTGGTATCAGATGTAACTGAAAAGGAAAGTAGGGGCTAAATCATGTAAGACCTTATAGGAGCGGTTTTTTTTTTTTTTTTTTTTTCTTAGCCTTAATCTTAAGAGCAGTGAGAAGTTATTAAAATGTTTTAATAAGCAGCAGACTGATATAATGTTTTTATTTTTAAAAAATCATTCTGACTACAGTATGGAGAATAAAATGAAAGGGAGGTAAGAGAAAAGATGATGAGACCATTAAGAAGGCAGCCCCTGTAGTGGTCCAGCTTAGGAATGAGAGTAACTTGGACTAGGGTAGAAGACTCAGAGATAGAGCAGGTTCAAGGAATCTGGAATGTACTTTGGAAGAATATACAAAGCAATATTTACTCTGAAAAGGCACTGGAAGGAATGGTAATAATCAGAAAAGAAATTTGAATATTCAGAAACCTAGTTTAAGAGTTTCCTGTTACAGTGTGCCGTCCAGTAGATTCCAATGTCGAGTCTGTCCAACTGTAGCACAGAGTAGAACTACCTCAAGGTTTCCTAGGCTGAAATCTTTACACGAGCAGATCACCAGCTCTTTTTTCCCACGGATTTGCTGGCGTGTTTGAATCACCAGTCTTTTGGTTTTCAGGCTAGTGCCTAACTTGTTGCACCACCAGGGTTCACTTAAGAGTTCTTTAGGATAAGGGAGGTTCATCCTTTTATGATATTAAAAATCGCTTTTCTGTCTCACTATTCCCCTCGCAGAGTCTTTAATTTTAAAATACTGAGTAATACCAAATGGACGTGAACATAGAGACTTTCTTCAAGAATAAAACGCAAATGACTATTTTTAGGTACCTGGAAAAATACATAGTAAAGGAGGTTTCCTAAATGTCTGAAAGACATTGTTCTTCAACTTTTTGAACTTATATCTCAACAATGTTTTCTCAGTGTACTTCCTTTGCAGCTCTTCCAGCTAAGGGTATTTTTTGAGCTTTACATTCTGTGTATGATCTACCAAAGGAAAAAACCAAATTCACTGCCATGAGGTCGAATCCAACTCATAGCAACCCTCTTTGGGTTTCTGAGGCAGTATCTCTATAAAAGTAGATTGCCCAGTCTTCCTTCCAAGGAGTGACTGGTGGGTTTGAACCGCCAGCCTTCTGGTTAGCAATCAAATGCCTTATGCACTATGCCACCAGAGCTCCTATGATGTGAACCATCAAATATGTAAATAAAATGATTTGGTGGGGGGAGGGGAAGTGCCACAGTCAGCATCAGAGTGTGTGTGCTTATTCCAGCTATGAAAGTTTTAAACTCTCTGCCAATCCTTTGTCAGCTCACTGTTTGATGATAGAAAATTTCTGACTTTGCAGGGAGTTTGATTTTCTGGAAACAGGAAAAAATTATTTGGAACCAGTTCTGATGAATTTTTAAACCAAGCTTGGGTAATAGACTTTTAGTATACTTAAGTGTTACTTTTGTTTTGTTTTTAAGACAATGTGAATAAACTCATAGTTCTGGCTTATAAGCTAAAGACAATTCTAAAAGAAGTTCTGGGCATTTTATAAGCAATTGCAACTTTTTTTTTTTTTTTTTAATTGTGCTGTGGGTAAAATTTTACAAAGCAGATTCGTTGTGCATTCAACAGTTCATACACGTTTTGTGACACGGTTACATTCCCTGCAGTGTAACAGCTCTCCTCCCATTTCCTCCCTGTAGTTACCCTTCCCCATTCCTCCCTCCCTACCTCTCTCCCTGTGCATATGCTGTCCTTTGCATCTCCCATGGTTGATTTTTCTAAGGAGTGCATCTCCTTGGTTGTATTACTTGGCCAAGAGCTAAGCCATGGGAGTGAGTTCAATTCCAGGCCCAAAGGGTGACTTGGGGCCATAGTCTCGGGGGTTTCACCAGTCTCTATCAGACTAGTAAACCTGGTCTTTGTTACGTTTTTTAATTTTGTTACACATTTCTGCTCCCACTCTCTCCAGGATCTGCAATTTTGATCCATTTCTGAGTGGTTGGCATTGGTAGCTGGGCACCATCTAGTTATTCTGATCTCAGGGACATACATGCTGAGGTTCCCATGGTCCATTAGTCCTTTGGACTAACTGTTTCCATGTGTCTTTCATTTTCTTCACTCCTCTTTGTTCTGGACAAGGAGAGACCAATAGTTGAATCTTAAATGGTCACTTGCAAGCTTTTAAGACCCCATTCACTTCTCACCGAAGTAGGATGTAGAACAATATTTTTATGTACTGTGTTGTGCCATTTGAGCTTACTGTGCCCCATGACCATGGTCCCCAGCTGCAAGCCCAGACTGATTCCCTCAAGGTGCCAAATTGTAGCTAAGAAGTTTATCCTAACTTTGTTCCCTGTTAGCTTTATACTGCACATGGACATTTTTATAGCACATACAAATACATATGTAGGAATAGCATCTTCTCAAGGTAACTCTTTACTGGGGATATTCTCCTTTAAAATATCCTAGTAGTATTTGTATGCTGGTTGAATACCAATCTCAGACTTTGTAGTTCAGACTGGAATAACAGAGCAATTATTGTTCAGGGGCATCTTCATACACAGTTAATGTCTGGTTTGAAAGTGTGATGAAAATGGCTTTTGTCCTACAGCTCCTACTAGGGCAGTGTTTGTCAGTGGACAGTCCTGCCGGCCAGACCATCTACCCCAGAAGCCTATGGGGAGGCATCTCTCCCTGCAGCAAGACTATAGTTGGGGACAGTGCTATGGGAGTTCTGATGGATACAGAAAAAAGAAGTAGTGGAATTTTCATTCTCTTTCTTTCTCTTCATTTCATTTTCTCCTTTAGTCTGAACAGCAAAAGAAGCAACAGGAGGCTGAGAAACTGCATCGACAAGAGAGGAAAAACCTTCGCCGTTCAGCCAGTCACCTGAAGTCAAGACACAAACGAAGATGGCCATTTCATTGAATTTAGAAATGTCCCCACGAGATAGATGCTTGTGTTTAAACTTCTCTGATCCCTAAGTGTGATTTGGAAGGAGCACAGTGCCACCAAATTGATATCATTAGGGTATATTAAATACAGACAAGGGGACATCACTTTTTTTAAGTTCTATGTAAATTCTTGATACATTCACAGAGATAAAGACTTTATAACTTGTCTCTATGCCTCATGGATTGGAATTTAAAGACTGGCCTCACACCAAGTGGTTACTGCATAGCCCCAAGTGTGCTTTTTGTAAGTTGTTCCCTTATAAGCACTGCCACTTCCTCTGATCTTAATCAAGTAAACCAAGTTGTTACTCTTTTTTAATTTCGTGAAATGTGTACAATGAAATGAAAGGTTTATCTTGTACTAAAAACTAAGATTTATCATGTGCCAAGAACTTTTTTGCTCTAAGCCTACTGCCATTCATGACTAAACCATGCAGAAATGCTGTACCTGTTTTACTTGATTTTATATATTGGCCACGTTTGTGTTTGTGTTTTTAAGAATATGATGATAGGTTTGTTGATGTATTAGTTTTGGATTTTATTTTTTTAATTTGTACCAAGAGAGTATCATTTAAGGGTAACAACAGCCTGAAAAAAGGAACCTTTGTGTAGTGGTTAAGCACTTGGCTGCTAACTGAAAGGCTGGTGGTTCAAACTCACCCAGCAGTTCTGCAAAAGAAAGAACTGGCAATTTGCTCCCATAAAAATAATAGCCTAGAAAGCTCTCCGGGGCACTTCTCCACTGTTCTACGTGATACCGTGAGATGAAAATGGACTAGATGGCTTATAACAAATAACCTGAAACAAGAGATGGAAGATACTGGTTATTCTTTCAACAGGGTGCAGAGAAACTACAGATTTTGCTGTTTCTTAAATGCAAATACTCACTGCCATCAAGTTGATTCCAACTCATAGCGACCCTCATTGTGTTTCCAAGGCTATAAATCTTTAAGGAAGCAGATTGCCTCATTTGCCATGGAGCGCCTGGTGGGTTCAAACCACCAACCCTTTGGTTTGCAGCCAGATGCCTTAACCACCACACCACTAGAGTTCCCTTAAGTGCAAATAGAGATAAACTTGCTGGAGGACACATCAATAAAAACAAAATTTTTCATTTAAATAGCTCTTTGAAAAAGACCCACTTACTGAGTTAATTTGGAAATTAACTTTGATTTCCTTAGTTTTTCAGATATTAATGTACTTGGAGATACCTTGAGAGATTTTTAAAGTTTCTTTACATACAACTCTTTGAACTGTAAATGATAGAACCTTTGAAACTACATGTAAATGATGGACTCTACAAAAAAGACAAATGGATTGTTAATAAAACCATGCTGTGGAACCTGGAGCAGGTCTCATGAACACCTACATCTAGGGCTTCAAATTAAATCACATCTTTTCTCCTTTCTTTCTTCTGTTTCAACATTGTTGCTTATTTTTTCAGGTTTCCCCAGCTCTCTTTTTCTTGCTGCTGATCCCTTTTCTCCAGGCTTTCTCTCCCCTGTCCTAGTTCTGCTTCTCTTATGCAGTCTGGCTTGTTCCCCAGGGCAGGGCACAGCCTGGGTTATACATTCATTCTGTGGTTTGAGTGATGGGGTCTGTTTGCACAAAAAGTACATGTGTGTGTGTGGCGATGTTTATGTGTCTGTGCAGACATAGTATTCAGAAAGAAATTCTTGTTTCTTGGGCAGCCAACCCAATTTCTGTTGTAATAACTGGTCCTCAAGTTACTTAAATCCCTGGTTATCACTTGCTTTCGTTTTTCAGCTTCTTATCCCTAAACTCATATTTATGGCCCATCTCTTCCCAAAGAAAGGTGCCCTCTGCTTTATGTTCTTTCTTTTCTCTATTTCCCACATTGCTTCCTTAAGGGATGGGGAATGTAGAAGAAATTAGAGAGGGGTTTGGACGGACACTGACACTGGCATTTTTTTCTACTGACTCTTTTCTTCTCTAGATTTATTGCCTGAGGCAAGGCTCTTCCATACCTATACCTGACTTTCCAAGGCTTCCTCTTTCCTACCTTCCTTTTTGGGAGGACTTCTTGTTTTGCAGGGAACCAGTGTGCCACAGTGCTGAATTCCTTAAGCAGTGCTGAAGGTTGTAATGCTAAGGGTGTTCATTTGATATATAAAAGGAAGACTTGATAGTCAGACCATCCCCAGATGGAAAAATGATAGTGCAGAGAAATTCTGGATACTTGGGAGGCTGGTAAAATAGCAAGAATAACTTGAGTTTTAAAATCACATAGACCCAGGGCTGAATCCTAGCTTTGATTCTTCCCAGTTTCATATTCTTTAGCTATTTAATTTCTTTGAGCCTGGTTTCTTCTATAGAATGAACTGAATACTTAGTTTTGTCAGGATTTAATGAAGTCCTTACATTAGGTAAAGCACCTAGCAGGTGCTTGACAGTGGGCACTCAAAGTTACTACTCTCTAGCTACCATTCCCCTCATCCCGTAGCTCTGAACTCAACACAGTCTTTAACATGGAGGGGCTTTTGAGAGTGGAGTTACTTCTCAACTTTCGTTCTGGGGGTACTGAAAGAACAGATGCAAGGACTTAGTTGAGTCCATGATGGATATTCAAGGAATATTTGTTGAATTGATAGATGCATTAATACTTCTTCCAGGCTCCAACATCCCTCTTGCTGGCCAGATTTTTCTAGTTAATGATCCCTTTAAACAGGTAGACCCAGCTCTATAGAGCTGTATCTGCTACAATCCTCATATTACTTTGAAGTCTCTTGTTTAGAAAGATACTATACAAGCTTCATATTCTACCCCATAATCGTCCTGTGTTTGTGATGTACTGCATACCAGCTGTAGGAAAGGACCGTGTTTCTCCTGTGACTCCATACTGGGAGAGTACACCCAGGGCTGTTCATGAGCCAGTATGGAAAGCACAGTTTTAAAGATGGTGGGCTATGTTTCTACCTCAGGACCATCCTGTTCCACATCCCTCTCATTCTCTGAAAACCACGTTTTTTTTCATTAACGGCAAAAATTTTTTAAAAGTTGTTTTCAGAAGGTAGGGTAGTGGTTATTTTTGGAGGGAGGGGAGCATTAAGTGAGAGGGAACATAACAGGGACGTCTAGGGATCATGGTTAGTTCTGTTCCTTAATTTGGGTGGTGGTTTTACTCATGTGTTCACTTTGTGAGCACTCATTGTCCTATGACGTGTATACCTTGCTCTGTGTATGTTATACTTTAAAACTTACTGAAAAAGAATTACTGTATCGAAGCAATGTCCCCATTATAACATACTTAACTTCCATCTATTCCCCCTGAGATAACTCCTAACAATATAATTTTATATATTTTCAAATATTGTTCTATAAGCAACTATATACACATTTGTTTTTGTAATGCAAATGGAGTCTTACTATATATGCCGAGCTCTGGTAGCATAGTGTCTAAGGCATTTGACTGCTAACCAGAAGGTTGACAGTTCAAACACACCAGCCACTCCTCAGAAGGAAGACTGCTCAATCTATTTCCATAGAGATACCACCTCAGAAACCCAAGGAGGGGTTGCAGTGAGTCAGGATCAACTTGATGGTAGTGAGTTTGGTTTTTTTGTTGTTATTACTCAACTTGATTTTTGTAATTAATATTTATAAACTTCAGAGTGTTTTTTTGTATGGGATCCATAATTTACTTAACTTCCCCTATTGATGATTATAAAGAGCTCTGGTGGTATAGTGCCCAAGGCATTTGACTGCTAACCAGAAGGTTGGTGGGTCAAACCCACCAGCCACTCCTTGGAAGGAAGATTGGACAATCTACTTCCATAAAGATTTACCACCTTGGAAACGCAAGGTGGTTGCTGTGAGTCAGAACTGATTCAATGCAGTGGATTGGTGGTGGGTTTTTTTTTTTTTTTTTTAAATGTGGTGGTTAAGGCATTTGGCTGCTAAACAAAAGGTCTATGGTTTGAACCCACCAGCTGCTCCATAGAGGAAGGGTGAGGTAGTCTACTTCTTTACAGCCTTGGAAATCCAGTGGAGGTCTCTATGAGTCAGAATCAACTCAATGGCAGTAAGTTTAGTTTTCGTTTTTATTGATAACTATAAGGGGCTCTGGTGGCACAGTGGTTAAGGCATTTAGCTACTAACCAGAAGGTTGGTGGTTCAAATCCACTGGCTGCTCTGTGGAAGGAAAGTAAGGCAATCTACTTCTGTAAAGATTTACAGCCTTGGAAACCCTATGAGTTGCTGTGAGTTGGAATTGACTCTATGGCACTGTGTTTTTGGTTTTGGAATTGATTATTATACCTGAAAATCTAAAGAAAGAACCTTTAATATATAATTTCTGTAAGTATAATCCAAGTTATTTAAAAAATAAACACAGTAACTTTATGAAACATCTGTATGTAGTAAAGTAATCTAAATGTCATGTAATTTCACATCTGATAGGGGCTGTACTTTCAAGACTGTAGTATACTTTCCCAAAAGAAGATAGAAGAAATACAGAGTCACTGTATTAAAAAATATTGGTCAATGTCCAGCTGTTTCAGGAGGTAGCCTTTGATCAAGAACCAATGGTATTGAAGGAATTGCGAAAAACAAGGCTCTGGGAATTGACGGAATACCCATTGAGATGTTTCAAAAATGGATGCCCAGTAGAGGTACTTACTCTTTTATGCTAAGAAATTTGGGAGATGGCTACCTGCCCAACTGACTGGAAGAGATTGATATATTTGTGTCCATTCCAAAGAAAGGTGATCCAACAGAATGTGGACATTATTGAACAGTATCATTAATATCACAAGTAAAATCACACAAGTAAAATAACACACACAAAAAATAACACAAGTAAAATCTTGCTGAAGAAAATTCAGAAACAGTTGCAGTAGGATACTGACAGGGAACTTCCAAAAATGCAAGCTGGATTCAGAAGAGGATGTGAAATGAGGGATATCACTGCTGATGTCAGATGGATCTTAGGTGAAAATAAAGAATACCAGAAAG